CACTGTTCACAGATCTCCAACGTATATTTGTTCTCAACTTACAAGTCTATTAAAATACATTCCAAAGCGAAAACATTAGGTCTGTTTTTTAAGCACTAAACTAGACTAACTTATACACACAGGCAGTGTGGCCATTTAATTAGTTTTTTCAACTATTCTGTTTTATAATATGATAAATTTATGGGAATAAAATATGCTATGTACACAATCTCTTAAAAAGGTGCTCAAAGGAATGTCTATATTTCAGGGTCAACCCTTGATTGGTCATCCAGGTGCCGGTGGTCAAATGGGATATGCAGATGTGAATTATAACCTTGGTTTTGCATATCTTACTAACCACGGTGGTACCAGATTGGTTGATCCAAGGTACATCGCACTCGCTGAAGCAACTTATGAATGTGCCGACGCAGCCATAAAAACCAAAAAGTGATGAACTATTTATAATCTCTCATTTTTTACTTTAAACATAATTATATGTACTATTATAGTAAATTAGTTATTTGTGATAGCGATTCAACTCTTCACCTCAATCGGTCAGATGACGAATCAAGGTGAGAATTAATTGGCATTATGCTAAGCAAGGAGGCATATTACATAAATGTATATGGCGTCCATTTGTTGTTAATAACCAAGTTAAAGTGGTAAAGAATAAAATGTGTTCTTCATTATATGAAACCCGTTTCTTCCAAACACTTCTTCGTGTAGACGGCTGTAAATGGGCACTGTTCAATCCGAGAAGAAACTAATCTGGCTGTCTTACATTTATACAGGTTTCTACTTTTATAAACATCATAATTATAATTCATATGCAAGATAGCTTGAAATATTGTCTTAAGATGAGAAATATACATGCATTCACACGTGTCAATTTGTTAGTTGTAGAAATAGACGGTTTCGTTGCGGATGCATATAGATGAATGTATGCTCTATATATTTAGACTAACATACATTTCACTTGCAATTCAATTGTTCAGTTCTGAAAAAAATGAATGAAATGAAATCTACAACCTCTTTGGATCGAAACAGGAAGCTGTCGATCGCATTCTAAATTTCAACGAGTGTTTAAATCTGCTGCACACGAACGCGCATGCATATCCTATACATACATGCATACATACACGAGTGCATATTCATAAGCCCAATAAAATCTGTCAAAAATTAGATGATTTTAAAATATCGTCAACATAACTGGAAGTGCTCCTGTTCCTTGGTTTTCACTTTTGAATTTAACGATTGAATGGCAATCGACGATTGAGCATCATGAGTCCACATAGGACATCCAGTACAAAATGATAAATGCTAAAAACCCTAGAATAGTTACAAATCGTGCCACGATGTCTATTTGACGTGCACGTTTACCAGGTGTTCTTGTTCGTTTCGGAACAGAAACGTCCGTATCCGACGTGTCGTCTAACTCCACCTGCAAAACAGAAAGAAAATTGGAAGGATATGTGCGTTTAGATATTTCATTATAATTTTAATCTCCTTTCTACAGAGAGACTGATTTTAACAGAGACAATAAACGGTTACAAAGAAAATAATGCTTACATTTTCTTGGTTAGTCTTTTTGGAGGTGTGGCGATTCCGGCGTGCTTCCCGTCCTTGACGTTTAGCAAGTTTTCGTTTATCTCTTTCTAGCATAGTGTTTACCGTGGCAAATTCCAGTGCAGATGCGACCACAAATATAATACACATCAACAGCCAGACGTCCAGAGCCCTTATATAGGATACCTGTAGGAAAGGTTGTGTTTACATAAGCTAGAATGTTCTATTTCATCAAAGCATTCTGCAAGTTAAAAATACTACTTCTGACTGTCGTTAAAGATTTATTAATTTGTCTTTTGTGTGAATATTTAAAAATAATAACTTAAATACTCAGTATTAAGAGTACCATCGGGGTGCGTTCTTGGTAAGTGATAGCTTGCATAGTAATGACGAGGAGAGAAGCTATGCTAAGAGACGTTCTCGCTGGGACCGCCGTGGGGTCGAGCCAACAGCTAACAAACGACATTAGAACGACTAGTGTGGTGGGAATGTACATGTGCAGCATGTAGGAAAGTAAGTTTCTTTTTAAATATATATCCACATATAGACAGGAATACGACCCTGAAGATAAAGAGATAAAGAATTAAAAATGCAATTGTATTACAAAAAGGTGTGAATTCTTATAGTTGCCTTATTTAATTATGATTTTTTTTTTTGAAATCACAATAAAATAACAAAAAGAATCCATCTTAAATTGTATGTATATAGTAAAAAATTCAAATCATCAATTTACATTTTGATACAGTCCCAAATAAATATATAGATATTTACCTGTAGAATAAATTGAAGTACAGTTACCGGCAGATACTTTAGTTATATCGAAGTTTGGGATTCCGTCGCTGAGCTCAGTACTGTATTCCACAGATTCCCCAAACCATCTCAAAACGATTTCATCCCTGGTGTGGGCAACTTAAAGGAAATATCTATCATTTCAATAAATTGACTCTTGGATAAACCAATAATGTTTACATGAACAATGTGTATAACTTAAGAGATTGAAAAGACCTTGTGACCAGGGTTTGTTTCATGTCACTGGCAGCAAAGATTTAGTAAAAATTTTTTGCTTTATACAAAACCTGTATAGTCAACATTAAAAAGCCAACTTCATCTTCACATGAAGACTGTACACATTTTGTAGGCCTACTTACAGCTTTCCAATTGAATCCTACATGTTTGTGAATCCATGGGATACTTTGAATACTTCAACTTGCACTTCACTGTGGCTGCAATCCTGACATGACAAAAACAATTCATTTTAAATATAAGACCATGATGGAAACCAAACCATACTGCTTGGCTACTAATCTGAAAGGCGTCATTTCAAGTGACATCGCATTCAGATTTGGGAAAAAGGCGCTCTGGTAAGCTCTAAAGAAAAAAAAACATGTTTTTTGACGTGTTTACATAAATAATTGTTTTATATACTACGTGCAGGTTAAAATATTAGTAATTTTTTGTGCCATGAAAACTTCTGCGTGTTGCATTAAATCCCTTATATCACGTGCCCCTTTTTGTTACTTCACCTTTGCGAAAACAGCACAGCCCCTTGTGGTGAGATTCGTAATAACATGTTAGGAACAGACACAGTATGCAAAAAGGCCATTTTCTCTTTAGTTAGATACGAATCTGGCACCCAGAAGAAATGAACTTGTTCATAAGACAGTGTGATCATGTTCGTATTGCTACTAGTGTTATACGCAAGGCGGGGTTCCTCCCATCTCTGACGTAAGAAGAAATCAACTGAGAAGTCCTGCTCAAAGATAAAGAGAAAAAAAAAGCTGTTACTCAGATGCTGCTGACATATCATCGCACATTGTCTGACATGTTTCCTGCTAAAGGCTAACTTGATGAATTGTGAATTTGTAATGTATTGCAATAAATTTACGGTATATTGTAATTCTGATTCACAATACTGAACAATAAACAGGAACACGCATTCAGAAAATAAACTTTATAATAATATTGTTTTATTAGACGGCTGTATGTCGGAAATTAAATTTTAAAGGTAAAATAAGATCAAGGCCACAGTACATACCATTGTTATGTCATTTATAGGACTCATGTCGTTCAATGATATATCCACATCTACGACAGTAGGCCTCCCTGGAAAGTTACATATACTTTTAAGCACATATCTTGTCATACATCAGCAAGTAAAAATGAGCAATAAGTCACATCGATGGCTAAACTTCATGTACGTCTTTCTAGGAGAGTGCATGTTCACACAGAATAAAGTCAACATTTTAATTCCTTTAAGCTTAAAAACATGATTTAGAGCTAACTCACCTTCATTAAAATGAGGCCGAATACGTTTGTCATAATCCATACATGTTAGAATGTGTTGCATAAATTCAACCTCTTCTGAAATTGACGAACTGGTACTTGGGCTGGACTGACCACTAGAAAGGTTTTTATGCAGTATATCATTTTACACAGTTGAAAAACCTGTGAATTAACATCTGTATTATGCATTTTACATCGTGCCTTTGCCTTCAAATCATTGTTGAATTCGATTAGACTTTAAAATGTTCATGTTGGAATGGCGATTGAAATGAATGACAGATCCTTCAAACTTTAGTGACATCACTTACTTTACATAATACTGGGAAATGCAGCATTGAAAAAGGCTTAAGAGAAGCAGATTGCCTAAGAAAATTCTGCCGACGTCCATTTACTTGCCATTATTTGAATCTCGTCCATGCACGAGCAAGGCGCTGACGTCAGGAACGCGTATCTTGCCAAGCGCGCGATGACGTCACGACGCTGACAACAGCCCTGCTTGACTGTGTGTATGTGTGTGTAGCCTGTAGTCTATGTGTAGATCTATGGTCTCAAGCCGTAGTCTAAATAACGAATTATATTGAGGGCTACTGTAAGAAAATGCCCAGGATTTCCGGTGACATTTTCTGCAAGCAGTAAAAAGGCACGCCACGTCAAAGTGCCTTCGGCCAAATGAAAGACAACCTTCATAGGGTATTTCAGGTTCACCAATTGATAAAGATCTAGATCTAAGCCATAGGCCTACTTTTGTTTCACTGTTAATTTACTGTCTTTGTTCAGTAAAAGGCAAAATTCCTTTTGGAAATCAATGTAAATAGAATTTCACACAAGATAATTCCTGGCTCGTTTCTTGCGGCCTTCGCCCCATAATTTTAAATTACCAAACCGTATTTTGTTTCACTTCAAACTTGCGGAGTGCCGTTGTCTGACAAAATGGGAGTTTGCTGCCGAAATTCAGCACGACAATATTTCTTCTAAAAAGTTACTTCTTACTGGAATTTGCCCGTTGTGTTAAAATGGAGCAATGGGAATGATTTCTTGTGTCCACTTTGCCGTCTAGCTTTTAAGAACCTTAATTGGTGTTCAGTCATCTGTCTTCTGTTAAGTCATATATATAATAATTTAAAAATAATAAAAAACACGCCATCTATCTCGTCGTGAATATTTGCACTTAATTTATTTTGAATTGAATTAGCCATTGTGAGAAAGCTACTTTCTTTACATAGCAGGCAGATGTTAAAGAACAACATTAAATAATTCAAATGTAGCTTATCGCTCAATAAATGCTTAAACTTCACAATTGCTGGGAGCTGCATAATGGATGCTGTAAACGGTATGTTATAATTGATAAAATAAAATGTAGGTAAGAATACGCTCCCAAACCATACCCCGTGCAGTTTCACTTACATCAAATACTAAATGATCCTTGCCCACGGACTCGAACGTCAGAGAGAGCACAATTGTAATCATGATTTGAGGTTCACTTAATACAGTTACTTTGACAACAGTATTATCAAGCTAATTAGACCAATATGAACTTTTTTTCTACCCAATTTGTTCAAATTTTAAAGTTGATTAATTTTTCCATCTGTCGACATTTTATAAAATAGATTACTATTTAACGGAGTATTTAATGTGTGACAAGAAAAATATTTTCACGTCATTCCCCTGACCTTAGCTCTAATAATCCATCGCCATACTTTCTAGTAAAGATGACCTCATTTAGGTCTATATATCCCAATATTCACAGCATCAAAAATTCAGCCCCTGTAAGCTTGCATTTAAGAACATTTTTAAGTTGAATATTTATAATTAAAATAATATTAAATAATAATAATAGTAATTGATAAGAATAAGACAAGAAAACTATCAGCATGTCCGTGCCCGATTGTTGTTCTCCTCTCCAAATTGTTTGGCAGATCTTGATGGGGTGTCATGATATCATCTTAAAACTATTGCCCCTTTAAGTAATATTATTTGCCAATTCAAGAAAGAACGGCATTCCTGCAATTTGGGGAAAAATAGCACCGAATATTCTTCATACCTACTGAGACACCAAAGTTTTTTTTTGTTTCAGGTAAAAATTCTTCATCCACAAGTTCTTTAAATGTTCAGAACTTCAGTCTGTGTTGTTTTGATTTTTCAAACTAGGACCTGAATCCACAAGTTCATGGAAACAATGTACTCATGAGAGTGGTTGATATTGCCCTAGTGAATTCTTATGAAACTGTGTTCTTTTCCTATCCGGCCTTTACACATTATGACCATGCAATAAAATTCTAGTCCTATGTACACCAATGACTTGAACATTACATTTCCACCTGGCCTCATATGTCATAGTGCTTCAGAACTGGTTACTCGAAATGGTTATATGATGTTCAATATTTCCAAAGACTAAATGTCTTGGTTACTCTTCTTCCTCATCTTCCTCTTCTGATTCATCTTCAGCTTGCTCCAGCCATGTAAGCCACTGGTTCACCTTTAAGAGCAAACAAAACACATAGGCATAGAATCACTGTGCTATTCACTAGCTGAAGGTAATTTGTATATCCAATTAAAAATCTAGAATCAAGTCAAATTTTGCAGACAATTTACATACAACTTATCTGCCTCGAAATTCCTCAAAAGTTCAAACCCAAAAGACTATGAAATTCCTGTGTCCTGGTTATAATAAATTTCCTGAGTCCAAGTTAATAGTTTTTAACATTTTCTCAGTCAAGAATCTCACCTGGAACAGAGACTTTCCCTTTCCTGGGTGCTCATCATTCACCTCTTCTTTCCACTTGAGAAACACCTCCTCGTCAATAATCTCCATATCATAAAAATGCATGAACATGCGCAGCAGCATACCTAAAAAAGAAGCAGATATGTTTCCAATCAATTTTTTCATAAGAACCCAAATATATCTTATATAGAATATGTCATTTTCAATGGGTCATTTCCCTGGAGTGAGCAACAATATCTAACCTTTATTACCTTTGGCTGGAAAAACATGTTCCACCAATCACAGATGCATTAGTCTGACTGAAGGTTATTTAAAATATTCAACAATTATTGCATTTTTCACAAATTATGCAGGCCTTATAAATTATAATCCATGGGTATCATCAAAAGCAAGCATCTGAGTTAATAGGCAGTGCAAACCAATAATGTCTACCTCATTCCACATACCTTTTGGAAACCCCTTGTTGTAGCAGTGGACCTGTAGGGCATATACTGCACTCAACTGTAGGCCTAATTTATCATGCAAAAACAGCTGCAAAATGCTCTGTAGGAGAAAAAAATATTGTCATTTGAACCAGAAAATCAGGATAATCATTGTTATTAGTAAAACAATAAATTCTTAATATTTCATGGAAAAAAGTTGTCACAATACATATTACCCCACCTTATATTTGTCCAAAATTTCTTTCTCCTTGTCTACCAAGTGTTTTTCAGGCATTGCGGCAGGATCAGCACCATCAGCCAGAGTGCTCTGGCTTGTAATGTAGCGCAACAATCTGAAAACAGAGAGAAATCAGAACTTTGAAAACAAGCCACAATTATATCCAGCTTCCTCACAGTATATACAACTGCTCTGCTTTTACCATGTAAGATTACACCAGACAGAATATTGTTCAAATTTCAATCAACAAATCTTTCTACAAAGTGGAATGGTACAAAGCAGCACTAGTCCATTCAAAGTTAAAATCAATTCAAAACCATGAAAAAATACAACATCAACACAAGGCTACATGGCAATACTTACGTGGTCACTAAACCATGAATAAATTCAGTTTTGTTGAACAGCTTCGGGTCAATGTTCTCCTTCATCCATTTGTAAAGGTCGGTTGGTGATGGGTCACCCTGGATCTGCCTGGACAGCTCTGCTTGGACTCTCAACAGAGGGAACATGAAGCTCAGGTCCCTGTCCTCTAGGATCTTCAGCATGCGTTCCTTGCTGCGGTCACCTTCTGCAGTAAGTAAAAAATATATCAAGAGAAGAAATAATGACATTAAAAACTACCAACTTCAATTCAGGACAAGACATAAGTAGCACCCAATTGTTTATTTTCCATTTAATGACTATAAATTGTATTCTTTTCTTTTAACTCTAAATATCTTTCTTCAAAATTTGATCCAGATTCCAGCTGCCCTGTTGTCTTCATACCATTTTGATAACATATGCCCCTTCTTTCTTGGAAATTAGTACTCACTGATCCTGTCATTGTCAATTCAGTGGTGCAACTTTGTTCTCAGGAAATGAGTGGATCTAGCACTCCCTTTTCCTTATGTTAAGTTCTTTGGGACCTTCATGTTTTCTTTATCACCATGCTTACTCGTTAATAAAAAATCTAGACTTACCTGGCAGCATATTCTGCAGATCAATCTTGCTTTCATTGAACACATTCACCAGCCAGTCCTCATCCTGCAGTTTATGTATTTGTTGCAAACAGAGCATGAATAGTGGATAGTGACTCCCATTCTCCATTGGAGCAGCTAGATCTGCCAGAGAAATCACACCTTCAGCAACAGCACACGCAGCAAACTTGGAAACATATGAGCGGATCAGTGGAATATCATCTTCAAGTGCTGGCATGCTCTCCAACAAGGAGTTGAAGGCCTAAGAAAGACAGAAATAAAAAATATCATGTCATGGAAATAGTGGGAAAAATTGTGGTTCACAGTTGAAAGCAGAGAGAAAGTACAGTTACATCTATGTCATTTATTCATTGACAACATTGCCAATGTCCATAAATACATTATCCTTTACAAAAATGTCCCTACCTCCATGTACTGCTCCCCTGTCACAACCCCAGCATTCTTCAAGGCAGCAATGAGGTTGCCAGCAGTCTCTCTGTTCTCATCAGACTTCTCTAATGTGGCAGTCATGAAGTGTTTTAGCATCTCTGGGATAAATCTGTAGCATAACAAAGAATATAAATGCAGCATGAATGCATTGTTGCATATTTGTAGCTCACATGCAGAGCACACACAAAACGACATACAAACAACAGACAAACAGCAGTGTCTGATAATGAATGAACGCTTAATGTATTGAACTCGCAATGATGGTTAACAAAGCTAACAAGTCTTGTGCTTCTGGCAGTAATTCTTACCTATTGGGTGGCCGCAGATTTTTGATGGTATTAACAGCATCTTCAAAACTTCCAGAGCTCAGACAGGCCTCCAATGCATCTTCCTACAATTTTATATGAGATGACTAAACCAAAAGAAAAAAAGTACCTCTTTTTTCATTGAGATTTGTAGTTTTTTCTGTTAGTTTGAAAATTCCGTTTTTAAGTGAAATCCAATTTAAACTTTTGACAAGTAAAAAAAAACTTATTGGATATATTCAATCAAGTCTTCCTACATAAGTTTTCTGGATTTCTTCTTTGGTAGGCACTGGCTTCTTTTTTTCTTTAATCTTCTCAGTTGAAGGCACCGTCTTGATGGTGATTTGGGCCTGCTGAAACAAAAGATAGCATAAAATTTTGCTGTATGCATTTCCTTACCAAAACCAACTTCATCTGGACATTTCATTGTGTTCATTGGACCTTCAACTAGCTACTAAAACGGATTATAAAATTTGGTCAATAAATAAAACAATGTCAATGCTAATGCTATTGAAAGAAAGGTGAACCATTCCTATGACCAAATACCCATTGTAACTAACCTGCTTTTGTAAGAGAGGCGGTGCCAGAGGTTCTGATGCACTTCCAGGCATTTTATGACTAGACATGGTTTGTGGGATCTGCGTTGACTTGGGTAAGCTGTTTGGTGTCTGGGGTTTGAACATGCCAAATCCTAAGGTGGCAGGCCTAAAGCTGTGCTCATCTATACCATTGCCCACAGACATATGTGCCATCTGGTTCTGTGGTGGATTGATGACAGGTGGCGGTGGATGGGAGGAAGCTGAGGTTGGGATCTGGGCAGCAGTCCCCTGGGATAGCTGTGGGGTCTGACCAGTAGGATTGCTTCCTCCTCCCCCTACCCCTCCTTGAGCAGCCTGCTGAGCTTTCTTAGCCAGTCTTGGGGGAAGATTGCCTAAAATAATAGTTACAAGAAATTTATTGAAGAGAAACTAGAGCAAAACCCACATAAGAAAGGTTTGTTCTTCTTAACACAGCAGGACTGTTTTTAGACATGACAAATAACTGAAATGTTCAGCCTCAACATTCTTTCTTATAAGAATTCTTATTACTTACTGAAATCTCTCTGCTTTTGGAGATTTTGCTGAGTTGATGGTTGCTGCTGCATGGATTGTTGTTGCTGTTGCTGCTGTTGAGGATTAGGTCCTTTGCCCTGGTGGCGGTGCTGTTTAGGACTTCCACCCTCCTGACGCCGGTACTGATTGTACCCTAACAAATAAGAAACAATAGTTACCACAACAGTATTAATCATGGCATTCCTAGGAAATAATGTGATCTCAAAAGATGCAGGTTATAATTCTATATTCTACATACATTTGTCCCATATGAATTAATTGTCATTTAAAACCTAAAATCAATGCCTGTGATACACATCTCCTCACCTTGACCCTGTTGATTCTTCCTTCTCCCAGTATTGGGGGAGTACCCAGGGGCCACACCATCCATACTGATGACCCCAGGGCCAGTACCAATGCTGCTGAACCCTCCAGGTCCTGCAGGTAAGGGACCAAACATGTCCATCTGACCACGACCAAAACCAGACCCATTCATGGTTGGTGGACCAAAGAGATCTAAATTCCGTATACCTTGCACCCCAGGTGGAGGCAGATAGACACCCATATCCTAAAAGGAACAGAAATGTAAGTAAGACTTTCTCTTTGTATTGAACATCACTGATTGTCGAGTCAAATGGATGAGACAAAATAGATTATCACAATTATATCATAACCTGAAGAAAACAAAGACCTACACTACATTTATTTTCTGCATACCTGCATGAATAAAAGGTGAAAACTGATGTACCAAATATTGAGATAATGTACTTCTAGTGTTGATAACTTTTCTCACCTTTGCTGCCTCCTCTCTGATTTGAGTAATGGTACGTGGAGCACTGCCTCTTGTTACCTTCCTGGGCGTCCACTGGAATGCAATCATTTTGCAAATTTCAGAAACTTTCAAAATTATCATGTTCAAATGTATTAAAATCAGTGTCAACAAGTCTATGCACACTTCCTTGCATCAGTTAGGTAGCATGTGCTTTACAGATAACATGAATTATTGCCTTGGTATCACATTTTCGTCTTGTAGTATAAGCCTGTTGTGTAATAACAATATATGTGCATGCCTTATGCATATGAAAACGGACTTTGCCAAATAAAAGTGATTTTGTCTGTTTACACTCACATTGTTCTCCCTAAGCTCTATTGTGTCCTGCAGAAGGAAACGAATACGAGTTGGTAACTCGTTATTCATCATCAGTGTCTTCATGCGAGAGAAATATTGATCCATCAAGGCCTGTAGGAAGACAATTTTCTTATCAAATTCAATCTTTTAACTGTATCAACTCACAATTTGCAAAATTCTAAGTCAAAAGGTGATTTGGATGATACAATCTATGGATTTACTTGTGACAATACAGAGATCAATACATGATGAAAAGAATGGACTTGATGACAATTCTCTACTTGTCTTACCTTTGCCTTGTCAGTGTCAAGGCGTCGACCGACGGTCTTCATTATCTGGCACAGACACTCCAAGTCCTCAGCAGTCTCCTGTATGGGGACATGTTTTTTCTTCTCCAAAAGCTGTTTAATGCATTTGTGTAAAATTCCCTCATGAAGCATGTCAAGTTTACCAAGCTCACCTATAAGACAAAAGTTGCAGGAGATGTGTTACCGAGTTACAGTAAGATTTCAACTCACTCATGCTTTAAAAAAA